AACTGTAGTCAGATGAAAAGACTTAGCTAATTTGTATTTTAATATTTTTTTAGATACAGGTAAAATTTCAGATACACTATCTAACATAACATAACAGGTGAATTTAGTTAGAGATTAAGTGGGGTTTTTTTAGCAATAAACAGTTTTAGAGGAGGTGATAAAATTTTGTCCAAGTTATGTTGCTTTGACCTGGTTGTTGCTTACAACACCACGTGAAACTTTAAACCATGTCTAAAGAAACAAGACAAAATGCATACACTGTGGTGTTCTTGTAAGCACAATCATTTATGGACTCATTCACTGTGACTATGTAGAAAGCAAATGCAGAAAAGAACATGCATGCAAGGCACTGAGATAAAAGATCATCTCAGAATCTGTTTTAAGCACTCATAACCTCATGAAAGTAACTGTAACAGTGAAGGACAGAGCTATAGGATTTCTTAGTGCCAAGATGTCCTTTTTTGCCATGATACAGTATCTCAAGAAAACACAAAGTAATGAAGATCTTTATTACTCCTGTAGTCTTCAGGCACTGCACCCCTCTTTCACACTAGAAATTCAAGATATGAAGTCCAGCAACCCTTTACTACACCGGAAAAAATAAGTAGAAAACATAAATGGAAGAATCTAATCCTGAAAACTTTATAGTCAAAGAAGTACGGTTCACGAGTGTTTTCTCCACAACATGGTGTCTTAGAAAGATATGCTTACCTTGTATTCATAAAATGGAGACTTCTGTACCTCATCCCACAGCACCCCTGAAAGAGAACTGTTCACCTGCTTCATGATAATTCCATAGGGGACCTGTCTGCCTGCAGCATCACTGCAAGGAGCCCCACGGAAAGGTACTTTGGAAAGAGAACACACATGATCCTGAAAAAAAAAGCAGAAGGCATGAGTTTCATGTTACATAGATATAATTGAACTCCAAAACAGCAGTACAGCCAAGAAAATTCACAAAAGGCATCGGGGTCTCAAAAATCCCTAATCTTCAAGCAACTCTGGCAGATACACTACATGTAGAGAAAAGTAAACTAAAATTTTGTTCACTCTGTAGTTATACAGGATTGGATGGATATCATTCAGCTTATACAGTTATCTTTTCTCTTTTTAATCCACTCTTACATTTTTCATAAGTATAATGTTGTCTGAGATTCCATAAACTGCTATGCTTTAACAGTCACAGGTTTGCTATGGTTTGTTGCACCTGTCTTTAAACAGTGAGCTTAGTGATGGTGCTGAGAAGGCACATACAAGTGTTGTAGGACCTTTGGACATCATCTCTTCTCATACAGATAACATTTATAGCTCCTTAGTCAAACACAGTGCTTGGGTATAGGGGGGTTCAGGTTGTCCAAGGAGATAAAATGCCTTATCTGCTAACACACTGCTCATCAGTTATCAGCCAAGCAAAAGATTCTGTCTTGTATCCCAGCTTTATGCTCTTATCTATCAGACCATAGTATTTCCTAATCCAAAAACAAGATTTCCAAAATCTAGTTGTATCTTTCCAAGGAAAAAATTAACAGTATGTTTGCAAATGAACAATCTTTCATCTTACCGTAGATAGGTTTTGGCAGACATAGTCATAGCCATACCAGGGGACACCCATCACAAGCTTTTTAGGATTAATGCCCATAGTAATGTACTCTTCATAGCCTAGATTTGAAGGAAATAAAAATTAAGATGCATTACTCCCTTTTCCTATGCTTTTTATTCTTACAACTGATCTACAGCCAGAGCCAATATAGGACTTGCATGATCCCGAGACAGAGGCTGGGGCAAGCTCTCCTTTACCTCTACCTGCACACTCTATTTAGAGAGGCCTGCTCTACTGAGATGCTAGTAATTGCTCTAGTTGCTCACAGTTAAAACCATATGCCCTTAGCAGAAGCTCACAAGGACAAAGAAATGTTTCAGGTTCTTTGCAAGCCCAGGCAGACACTATTGCTGTGGTTGCCGTTTGCCATTCTAGTGCTCTTCACTCCTGACAGCTACTGATCACAGGTAACAACACACGACTGCTAGAAGTCTGCCTGTAGTGTCATAAGGAGCAGAGATATCATTTTCACACTAGGACACCACATATTTGAGCACACTCGAAAGCTTCAATGCAACCAAAAAACAAAAAAAAAGAAACGTCAATCTTTTCTATCTATTGATGTAAACAAATGGAAATGTTCTGACTCCTGAGGAGACATTTTGTCCTCACCAAGTAAAGTCTGCAGGTAAGGGGCATTGGCTTTTGCAATACAGTCTGTCCAGATCTGGCTCTGTTCATCATATGACATCACAAATAAGAAGTCACAGGCATCTGCAATCCCAGTGTAGTTGTAGCACCTTCTGTCTATGCATGCTGGAGACCAAGCCACATCAAATGTTACCTGAAGGAAAAATGCACAAGTTAGTATCGTGTATGGCCCTTAGGCGCTCGTTTCGTCTTTTTAAAAAAGCTGTAACTTTTCAAGACAGTATTTCCTACATGTAGCAGTTTAATACACCTTGATGGTAATGAACTATGGGAGAGGCTGCTCAGCTGACAAAGCAAACACTAGATTCTGAAGTGAGTGCCCCACTAGTGCCCCTAGCATCAAAGAAATTAAAATATAATATGAAAACCATCTGACCAAAAATATGAAGCATGATGCAAATCCTTAAAGCTTTAGTGACGGGTTTACCAAAACACTGTTAAGCTTTTGCCCCAGAAGGCTGTATTTGCCCTACTTTCAACAATTTGTTAAGCCACACTAAGTGCCAGCTCACAAAAGGCAGTAATGTTGTATCTATAGATCCTCGTGAAGCCCCCCTTCTGTTTAAATTCATACAGGTCAAAAAGGGTGATTCTTACAAGACCATATCACAGCTAACATTCATAATGAACCATTCATGAGAATGTCCTATTTAGATCTGCATAAACTTTTCGTATTCATATGCTAAACAGCATTGCCAAAACCCCTTGCATTTCATAAAGTGAATGTTTGTAAAAGGTACATTATTATTACCTGTGATCCTGGTATTTCTCTGTGAAAAGCATCTGTAGTTTCTTTAACAAGCTCTGTCAATGCATAATACTCAGGGGAGGTTTCGTTAACTTCTTGCTCTATATCAATGTTAATTCCATCCATATACTGGTTTTTTGCAAGGTCCACCTGGTGGGATATCCATGCTGCTCTTTTAGCAGGATCAACAATTTCCTTTAGAGGTACATCACCTAGACAAGAAGCCTTCAAGAGTTAACATGCATTTGCACCGCAATAGTAGTAAGGAGGAAAGGCTTGTCTTTACTAAACCAACAAATATAAACATAAACCAAAAAATGCTCATACTGATACTGGTAAAATACAAAGGAGTTAACTTTTTCCCCAAGCATAATTTTGAGAAACCACCCCAGAATTGATTACCAAACTTCTTTGAGACAGCGGTGTTTAAAATAGGGTTCCTTTTGGATGTTTTTCTATAATTTTAACCTCCTTACTTCTGCTTAATATTCTTTTAGCCACTGTAAACTACCTTTCTTGAAATCAATTTACTTTTGGATTTCCACTGAGCCAGAGGGACTGTTTAGAGTAAAATACTTTAATGTTTAACCTTTGTTGCTTTCCACACTGTGGTCCTGGATTCCGTGTTTGCCTCAATAGAGCCAAAAGTTGCTTATATCATGTAAGCTGTAATGGACTTTGTCTTTTTAATCAGCATTTGTACCTGCACAGAGTTCCTGAGTACTCATGTTTTAAAACTCAACCACTTCCTAATACAAAGGGATTGATTTAAGTGCAAAATACTAAAAATTACTTAAAATCCCTTCCCTTACCCTTTTGGGTACTTCATATAACATCCAGAACACAGAGCCATATAACTATTTTCTGCAGGCTTTTCCTTTCCTCCCTCTTCCTCCATAACTGTGATGTTCCCTATTAGAGAACTTTAATTTAGGTGTCACTGGGATGGTTTCATTACTACTATGGCAGACACCATTTCTGATTTTAATGCCCTGCATACTAGCAGGCATTAAATACAAAGTGTCAAGATATTATAGCCTTGTGTGAGTTATAGCCTTATTAATTAATCCTCTTACTGATTTTTATATTCCGCATACAATTGAATGTGAAATGTCAAGGTACTATAGCCCTATGTACATTATGTTCTTCTTCACGCATCATAAATATCCACACTTTCCCAATGTAACCAACCTTTCAGTACTATCCTGGAACCTTTAGAGTGGGCATAGCACACGAGCTCAGGATCGTACTTTCCAAAAGCTGCCACAGTTGTAATTTTTGACCAGTCATAGAATTTCCATGCTTCCTTTCCCACATCAAACACAAAGACCTGGAAAAGGGGTAAGAATCACCCTCATTAGCCCCAAGCACTTGTCAGCAGGACGATTATTTTCCACGTGCCCCTCACAAAGGTCGCTGCCTGGCGCCTCTGGGAAGCAGCTTGCACGGACGCCTCCCACCCTCCGCCCGGGCTGCCGGGGGGGCCCCGCAGGCAGCGGGACAGCGGCTGCCACACCGAGCCCGGCCCGGGCACTGCCCTGCACATCGACCACCCGCTGTGTGGAACCGGCTCGCTCTGGAGCGGGCGATTCAGGGCGGCAGCGGCCCCGGGGCGCCGAACGCGCTGCGAACGCGGAGCCGCCGGGTTCGGCCGTCCCTGCGCCCAGGCCAGCCCGCCCCGCTCCGGCACCGCCCGGGCCGCGCACCTCGGGGCTGCGGGTGCCCGTGACGGGCCGGCACAGCCGCGGGTCCCGGCAGGGGCAGGCGCCGACGGGGCCGCCCAGCAGCTGCAGGAGGCCGAGCGGCAGCAGCCACCCGCCCCACAGCTGCTCCATGGCCCCCACGGCCGCCGGGCCCGGCCCGGCCGCGCAGCTCCGGCCCCCGGGGAGGAGCCTCTGCGTCCCCGGCGAGGGGCGGGAGGAACCCGGGGCGGGGCCGGTGCTGTGTCCGAGGGCGGGGCCCGCCCCCAGCGAGCCGCGTGTGTGGGGAGAAAAAGATCTCGGGGAGCGCGTTTACAGAGCAACTGTTTATTGAAAGTTCACACCCGGCCAGCCGTGTCCCGGGTTGTTTTCAAGAACTCGAGAAGGACCGGAGCAGAGCGATGTCCCGCAGGGGACGGGGCCGATCCCCGGCCGCCCGAGCTAGCCGTGCCCGCGGGCGGCCGGGCCGACACGACCCCCCTCAGGAGCGGGTCGGTGCGGGGGCTGAGGCCGGGCACGGCTGGTGCTGGCAGGAACAGGCCGTGTGAGCAGGCACCGAGCTCACCACGTCCTCGGATTTCTGGCCCAGCCTAAGCTGCCTTTCCAGGCTGGGAGCAGAGTCTGTAAACGAGAAAGGAGGAAGAAGTCAGGCCGGGGGTTTGGTTATACATCGATGTACTCCTGTGTTAGGGCGGTGAACCTCACGGTTTTTCACAGACTCACGGTCGCGCATTCTGGCTGTGTCGCTCACAGCAGACTCACCGGCTGGTACACAGTGGAAGCCCACGGAGACGGGAACGGTCCCGGTTGCTGAACAGCCTTCCACGCAGCGAAGAACTGGCTCCACAGAGAAGCATTTTGCTGCCATCTTCTCAAATCCAACTGCCTTCTCAATTTTGACAAATTTGCGCTGCAGCTTGCAAGCTACAAAACATAAGTTCTCATGAAGCACCTACAGAGTTTAGATAAGTAACTCTGTGGACTTAATTTTGTAAAATTAGCAACAACTAAGACCAGTGGATGAATAAAGTGACACAAACTACGTGAAGCTAATCTGATTGAAGTCAATCTTCTGTCAAAGGCTTAGGCTGTGAGAAAATGAGGCATATAGGGCACGGCTGCAAGAACAGAGGCTTGCCACAGATAGGATCTAGGTGGGAGACAGATGTCCAAATCCAAAAAGATACATTTGGAAACCTTGGTCAGCTGACGTTCAAATTACCCAAACTATGACAGCACTTCATTTTGGGGCAGTAGTGGCTCCTAGACATCCATATATCTATTTCTGTTCTGCACTGTCAACAGTCAAACTGCCTGCTTTCCATACCAAGTTAGCATCTTAGGGAGTTTTAAGTTGAACACACAAACTTCAGGTAACTACACAGTGCATAAGTTGATAGAAAAATAAAACAAAACCAGAATTTGCAGTGAACTACTAAACTTGGGAAAAAGAGTTTTTTTCCTTTTTTTTTTTAGTCTGGGGCCACTAATCATAGAAATAGCAAAAAATGAGATGATTGTACTACAATTAATATAAATCACCTATTCATGTGACTACTTAACTAGTTGAAGACAATAACATTAACATATGTTAGAATCTTAGTACCTCCAGCACACGAGTCTTCTGAGATGATCCAAGACTGACCAAAACTCACTGCATCCTTAGCTAAATATCCACTGGGCATTTGATATTCTCTTTCCTTTTCAGCATCATATTTTCCACAAATGCCACATGTTTTTCCAGCCATCCAGAAAGCAACCTGAATCTTTGTGGAATAAAAGTGCACATAAATTTTTTTCTTCTAAAAATAAAATCACTGAAAATAATTTTAAAAATTACCTTAAGTCTGTGTCCATCATAATATAGTTTATCTATGCCATAATCTGGGGCTTTTAGTGCCAATCCTTCCTCTTCACTGCTGATCAGTATGCTTGCATCTGCAACAGAAAAGGAAAATAAGATTCCTTCTAAAATGAAGTTACTCTTTTAGGGCCCAACTTGAACTGTTTGTTAAGTTCCTGGGGACATAATGCAGGCTCTGATGTATCTTGAAATAGATGGGGGGAATGAGAAAGACTACTGCTCTCTGCCCTGGAACAAGCAGAAGCCCAGTGACAAGAGTGGCTGTGACAAGGGACATCTAGGTGCTTGTTCTGTGCGTCTCTGGGATCAGCAAAACATCCCACAGCCTGCATCTTTTGGTTTGTGCAAAGATGCACAGGATCAGCATCTCTTTCTTTGCTCATCTTTCTTGCCATCCCATATGAAAGCTTGCATGAAGGTATCTTAAAGTCATCTAATTACTTCTCAAATTAAGACGATCTTTATCTTGAGAGGTGTTTGCAGGATCCTATCCTCTTCTTATTCAAAAGACCAGAAAAGATTAAACAAAATATAAAAATGAGGCTCTTACCAGAATTAGATGTGTATGGAACATCTCTTGGGGCTTGGACACCATTAATCTTCAAATGGAGGAGTCCATTGGAAACATACATGTCAACCTCACTTTAAATAAAGGAAATTAGTGTAAACAAATGCTTCTCCTTTGCCCAACTAAGCTCACAGTTTCCCGTTCTGGTAGAAACATCACTGCAGTATGCTCACATCATTCTGGCATGAATCACCTGCTACCCTTTAGGAAGAAGATTGAGAGCGCCCAGGAAAGAATGCCAGGAAGAGTGCTCACAGCACACCTTTCCCTGGCTTTACTCATCTCTGAGTGTCTGCTGGTGACCAGGGTACAGGCAGGAAGACACCAGGATACAGGACCTTTGTTGCAGAACAGTAATTGCTATTACATTCGCATAAATTGAAGGTGCTTTACATTTCAAAGGAAGATTGGATTCCCTTGGGGGGGTTCTCTTGCAGCCTGAAGAGGCTGTGTATTGTAGTATTTTCTTCAGAGCAGTGTTTGCTCTAATGAAGAAATATGAAGCTCAAGCACATCAAAAGCTCATCCAAACAGTTGTGTGAAAAGATCAGGAATGGTTCAGTGACAAGGAATGTCTTTATCACAAAAGATACAGTCTATAAAACAAGCACCCTTGTGTTTTTCATAAAACAGATGCAGGGAATACTAGTTTGTTTCTCTAACATTATGGCACAGTTAGGCGCACAATTTTCAGAGATTAATAATAACTTGTAATGAAACCTTGCAGATCAAAGTCTATATATGCACTTTGAAGAACACTTCTTACAATGATTTTGGTATGCATAATCCCATACAATTTAGAGGTGATTGCTCGAGGATGAAACAAAGTGTGTCTTAAAGTAATTTCAAATAGATTAAAACATTATGCATCAATCAAGGGATGACCTAAGAGTGTCTCTAATCTGGGATAAGTAATACCCTTTTTAGTTATGTCCACTTCTCAACAACTCTGCTGAGATGAGTATGGATTCTAATTTGTTCTAATTATTAGCTTAGAGTAAAAGGCCAGACTAAATGACTGCTATAGTCCCTTTTGTATTTATAGTTTATGTGTCTACTTAATCACTAAGAACTGAAATGAGATGGTTAAATCTAACAAATTAATGAAGAATTTGGGGCAGTAAAGACTGTAGGTTACTGTGAACCTCAGATATATTTCAGAAGCACTTTTAAAAGACAAAGTCCCAAATCCCAGTTGACACTCTTTGATACCTTTGCACTGACATCGGTAATTTTTGCATGAGTCTTGTGCTAGTGCCAATCTGCCCTACAAATTTGATCTCCATGTTTATAGCACATCAAGCTTGACATCTGTTTTTTATTAAGTTTGCAATTACTTACTGGCTGGCCAGTCTGACATTTATTGCTGTAAGGTCAGCAGACTCTTCAAGTCTTTTCATCATCACCAGGAATTTAAGCTCTGGACTACAGTCCTGCACCAAGACATGGTAGCAATTTGCAGGCATTGAATAGTTAAATTCAACACCATCGAAGGTTGTGATCGTATTTTGGAAAACTGAACAGTGAGCTGAAAAAAAATCCAGTAAAAAGTAAGCCTTTTATAATTTATATAAGGCAGGCATTCTATTTTAAATTTAATATGAATTGATTAAGAAAAAAAGACCATTTTTTGGTTCTACCCATTCCCACACAGAAGTTAATTGATTCTGTAAGATCAACTATTAGATTTGTAGTAATACAAAAGTAAAACTTTGCTCATCCCCAAGCAGCAGCACAACCCACTCATGGTTCAGTCACTGTCTGATATAAATTATGCTCACAGCTGGTACTGGTGCAACTCTCTTTTGGCTTTTTTAACTTTGTTGTAGTCAAAAGAATTTCTCAAAGGTTGATAACAACTCACATATCATTAACATTAGAGAAAGTTCACTAAAGTGCTGATACCTTTATTGGGTCATAATCAGGATTAGAAATAGTTGGAAGGAGGGGAGACAAAAATACCACGCTACACTTTTCGCTTTTTCACTGTCATGGTATTTTGTTGGAAATCCTACCAGCTCTAATCCTACCAGATTAGAAATTATTTTACAACAATTTTAATTAATACAGACTAGTTTTGGTGTTTTCCAAAGAAATATCATAGAATCATAGAATGGCTTATGCTGGAAGGGACCTTAAAAGATTATCTAGTTCCAACTTCCCTGCTGTGAACAGGAACACCATTCAGTATGCATGGTACGATATTACCCCACTGATTCCAAGCAAGATGTCTTTATTACAGGATTACATAAAGCTTTTCTATTTAAAATTTACCCTAAGTAAATATAATGTGATTAGCTCTTAATACAGCATTAATCAAACAATAATCCCTTCATAATCAAAGTGCAGGATTTGAAATTAATGGGTATAATTTTGAAGCTGTTTTAGCTTTTACATAACAGTGCTAATCAAACAGAGCACCCCAAATCAGAGGTCACTTTAATGTCGGTCTCACAAATTTTGTAATGTTTTTTCTTCATGAACAATCTCTGCAGTGAAACGGAAACAGATGCATTTGTAAATGGATGTATTTGGAATCACTATTTGGCTTGGAACTGAATGTCTAATCTTCCTAAGTCTCCTTTTCTTTACGTCTTTGCAGCCTCACAGATATTCATACGGATGCTTTATTTCTGTCTGAAGTCCAACTGATTTTTTAAGTGAATGTAAAATAATTTCAAGTTACATCAAAAGTACAAATCATGTTTACAAAATCTGCAAAGCCAATCAATGCCTGTGCAGATAGTTGCTTACTGACCTTTAAAACTTTCAATGAGTGAAAGTGTTGCTTGGGAAAAGACATTCCAGTCAGAGGATGGTAGTGTTGAAACTGGTGTACCTGGACGTGAAGGGAATGGCAGGGGAAGCCTGATGGCTCTGTTGTAAATTGTGAGCTGAAAATCAGTCAGAAAACAAACATGAATGCAAATGCAAAGTACAGTGTAGAGATGAGATAGCATTTTCCTCTAATGTTCCAAGGGGACTGTACAGACTGAAATCTAAATTAACATCTGGATTTAGGCCAGAAAAAGAATTCAAATCCTCTGTCTACCACATAAAATATTCTACAGTGTAACACATCTTCAACCTATAGAACAGCAGTGCTATAAATGAATTTGGAGAGTCACCAATTTGCACCTTTTTGGTAGCTGTACACCTCATTTTCTCGCAATCTGAACAGTTGGCTTACCTGAGATGCACACCCTCTGCCTATGCATCAGGCACTGTTATTTGGCCATCATGCTTCTCTACAGCCTGGTTTTACTATCTTTCCAGGACACAGTAAAACCTATCATCTTTCTGAAGATTTGGGGGGAGTGGTCTTTTTAATATTATTGTTAATGTGCTGTCAGTCATGGTGGTTGTTTTTGTAACCTGTTTCTTATTTTATATGCTTACATGCTACATGAGAAAGAGAAATATGTTGCAAGATATTTTCATAGCAAAACCAATTGCGTGAATATAATGTCTTGTGATGGCAGCTTCTTAATAGTTTAATAATTTTTTTTAAAAAATCAACAGGTTAAAAAAGCTATTAACCATCTATTTCATAAGTACTGATGGCTCCAGGATAAAAGATAGTGGAAAATAGTTACCTCTGGCAACTTAAAAACAACATCACAGGTTCTCGGAGATGTCAAAGCCATAACCAAGGTTGCCTGGTGAGAGGGACCAAGTTGTTGCCTTAGGGAATACCCAAGCACATATGCAACTCCTGGAAGAAGTGAGTAGAACCTGAAAAAAAAGGAAGTGATTAAAACAATAATCTATCTTTGAAAAAAGTGGTTATTATTTGTTCACATTAATATACCCCCATAAAGCAATATGTATTCTGTGTTGGACGTGTTTTGTGTCAGGGTTTGGTGATACCTGATGTTGTGTATAAAAGGAGGGGCAGGAAAATTTATTTGTTAGTGGGTGAATAAGATCTCGAGAGACTGGAGGGTAGAGTGATATGAAAAGCAAAGTATGGCAAACTTGTTTTAAACACATTCAGAGTTAAAAATAGACACCAATTACATAAAAATTAGATATTAACATGCTAAAAATATTAAATTAGTATTTAATATTAGTATGTCAGTCCTGCAGTGATAACTTTAAGCAAGGGTCCTTAGCCTACTAAGACTGTCAACAACCTGATGGAGGGATCTCTACGATTGGGTTTCCTTACAGGCTTGGGACTCAAAAATGGAAATACAGAAAATATTCCTTTCTAAAAAGGCATAATCTCAGAGCAGAAAAAAGGTAAGTTCTAAGGCTTTGCTCCAGGGTAGTCAATTGAGTAGTTTCATCTCCTCTAATAAGGGCAGATAACACTTCAAGTAATTCAATATAGTATAAAAAGTTAACCTCCTCAGTAGACATTTGTTAACAAAATTACTTGTATGCCTTTAATGTGAAAACTTGTGTTGCATGCGTATTTAGTTTACTGAGTTGCTGTACATGTCTGTATTTCAGTAGCACTAAGAAAAAAATTAAGCTTCAACATGGATCTATATGTTATTGCAGGCAAACGCATGTATGAATACAAAGCATGCGTGAATACAACAAACACTACATGTATATGGAGACACGTATGTGTACTGAAAACGTACAGTTTTCTTCAGTAAATGTCATATAATATTTGCTATTTAGTGTGCATAAGCCTTCTAGGAATATTTATATCACCTGCTTCAGAAGCCAGAGGCCAAGTGCCTACATTAGGAAATTAGTCTCCCTGTACAGTCAGTAAGAGGCTGACCCCTTCAGAGAACCAAGGTTAGGCTTCTGCTCTAAGCCTCCATCAATTAGGAAGCATCAGGAGACCAATCTCCTAATTCAGGCACTTTAAATTAAAAGTCTATAATAGGTTAGGTGAATCCCATCATCCCAAGTGGTTTTCCTGCAAACTAAAATGCGCTATGCTTTGGGGGAATGAATACACAGAAAAAACAGATATATGTAATCTGATTTTTTACTATCCTACTGATTTGATTAAGGGGAATTTTTCCAGCTTGAAAGTTGCAGAACTGAAGCTGTAATTATTTGGAGCATTGACATGTGAATTTTTCAAAAACTAAAGTAAAATCTCACCATCTTGCAGTTGTTCGGATTATTGAAGGTACTGTTAGCCACTCCAGCTTCATCTGCATAGCTGGATAAGCAGCAAATTGCCCTGTTGCAATCTGAGTAGCAATCTGGTAGTCCTGGCAATCTTTACCCCATTTAAGAGAACCCTAGTAGAGGGGAATATACATATTTTTGCATAAAACATAGTAAGATCATTAGGTTTCTTTTACGTTTGAGCTGATCATTGTTTTAAACTTACTGATACTTTTCGGTAATTTATCACTGAAGCATCAGCACAGAGTTTCCATCTGCTTGGTCTTGTGATGCTTGAAACAAACACCTGTATTCTTGACCTCCAGGGTTGTGTATCAGTGTACAGGACAAGCTGTAATCCTGTTGGCTGCTCATTTTTGTGGATGGCACGAAGGACCGCAGCCAGTATGGGTGGCTTGCTGTCTCCCAAGAATTTAGGCTTCAGTCAGAAGAGAGGAAACAGAGTCCAAAGACATAAACAAAGCATTAATATTACTATACTAAAATCACAGTTAAAAAGTATTTGCTAAGGAAAAGTTTCATTCAAAAAGCCTTTTTATGTGAAGTATGGGACAGCATCATAGATCATTACTCAGTCTATTCAGTTCATATGTAGTTTTGCCACAGTCTTTTGAGAGAGAGCTGTCATGACCTATGTAAGTAAAACGCTTTGGGAATTTTTTTTCTAAAGTAATTTCAGTGTAACAAAAAGAAGTATGGTACTGTATAAAGAACCAATGTTCCCCAGCTCAGCATTGCTCTCTTACCAACCTGTAGTTTCGCTAGTTGTCTTTTTGATAAAATTAGTTTAACCACTTGTTTAAAACCATGATAATTTGTTTTGTCAGAGGGATCTGTTCAGTGCAGTCCAAAGTGTGGTACTTGCAGGAGGAGCAGCGCGTGGCCCCGTTCGACATTGGACCCTTGTGCCCAGCAGTAGCACCTGCTCCAGCTGTGAATGTCCTGCCCAGCTGTGGGGACGGAGCCCTCGCCTGGCCATGGGGGAGCTGCAGGTGGAATTAACTGTGGGGCAGCAGGTCCTCCCTGAGCTGCCAGGTTGGAGTGACAGAGACACATGAAAGGATTAGATGAGACAGAGCTGGAGAGGGCTTAGAGGGAAATGGGAAAAGAACAAGGCAGTGGCTGAGAAACCGTTCAGGGAAGTAGTGATAAAAAGAAGGACAAGAGAGGGGAATTTAAGCTGCTGGGGAGGAGCTGGGGAGAATGTAGATCTGATTGCCTTTTTTCCACAAGCTACTTCTACTAACAACTGGGAGCTGCTGGGGCAGAAGGGATGCCTCAGCAAAGAAAGGCTTCTGTTTTATAGGCAGGTAGGTCATTGTCTGAAATGTGTGAAATTTTTCTTTGTTGAAATCTGCTCCAGATTCCATCAGTTCTTACAGAAGGACTAGGTACCATTAACTATGTACCATGCAGGCATTCCCAAATAAACACCTGGATTGCTCTCAGAGTTGGAGCCTTGCTGCAAACGTCTTTTCAAAGGCCTTTTACGATCCTGCTAACATGAACAGAAGGACTCTGCAATGAAGACCTAATAAATAAAAAAGTGGCAGAGTCACCTCCTGAACTTTTACAAAAAGATACACAAGAAAAATATACCTGAAACCAGTTTCTAATCAAGCAGGCCAGCACTTCTACAGTGTTCTCATTGTTACAGTGAATTATTTACTGAGTAACACAAATTTCAACATATGCAGCAATACATTGCAGTTTCATTAAAAAAATGTAGCCTTGAGTGCATATTAAAAAAACATTCAATGATTATCCAATGTGCTCACCTTTAGGAAACAAGAAGCGTTCAGTTTCTTTTTATATACCTAATATGCTATATCACCATATTTTTCCTGGTCTGTTATAATAATAACTGGAAATGCAAGGTAGTTGTTTTGATTTCGTGCAGATTAAGGCACTCACCTGAGACATGGCTCTAGAGATGCCTTCATCACTAGCTGCTGAAGAAGAGGAAGAGCTGATGCTGCTGTTCAGGATTTCCCTTCCTGGGCCCTGCAAAAGCAGAGAATCACCTTGAAGCAGGTTCCCTACCACTGGAAGTTGTTGCAGAATCAATTTATCATATTTTTATTCTCAGAGAACTAGGGTCTAATTGCAGCAAAGTTGTAGACCCTGCTCCCACTACATGCAATAAATGTACCTGTTCATCTGCTGGCTTAAACCAGAGCTGGTAAACAGGGAGGGTTACCTGTGAAAATATTATGTAAGAAGACCTAAGAGAAAACGAAGAGCTAACTTTTGATAAACACATTAAAAATACAATATTGAGGATGGAAAAAGGTGAAACAAAATTAAATTTTTTAAACCTTTTACACTAAAGTGCTTCAAAGAACCAGAGTTCCTCTTTCTTTGGTTCATGCTCTATGAGCACAATTTCCTGATTTACAAAAACAATCACTACAAGAAATATAAAAAGTTCCAGCCAGGGTGAATTACCTGTTGTTTGGAATATTCACTGTGCCCACTGCAGTCCCTGTCCCCAGAGTGGTCTTCTTGGCTGCTGCTGCATACTTTACTGCTAGCAGAGCTGACACTGCTGCTGCCACTTCTCCTGCCACTGCTGCTCCTGCTGCTGCTCTTGCTGCCACGCTTCTTCACAGATTGCCTTATTTCATCTTTCTTGTGATCATTTCCAGGCTCCTTGCCATCAGCAGAGGAAGCAGCAGCAGAAGAGGATGAACTGGAGAGGTGGGGTGCACTGAGCTCTGCCCAGAGGCCTGTATCTGCAGTCTTGTAATCTCTGTTAATCCGTTTTGTGCGGCGACGTGTTTTATTTGAGGCCTCCAAAAACAGTTGAAAGCATTATGAATTTATAGCTTGTTTTGTAACATTTCTCTGGCTGTCAGAGAAGTTACTCACCGCAGGCTATCAAGGAAGTAGAACTTCCTGTCCCCACACACTGCAGGAGCTGTACCAAAGCTCACCTACACCCATTCCTCCCAGCCCAAATCCTTGCTTTCCTTGGGCCATTTTTTCCACAGTGGAAACCCTTGGCTTTTTTCATAGGCAATATTTCCTTCTCTGATGCTCAAAGTCTCTTACCGTGAACACATTTTCAATGCCTAGAATCTTCTTCAGTTTAGCTTTAATGTCCTCATATGGAGAGGTCTCTTCCTCTTCCTTCGACCCTGAGCTTGCTACATCAATTATTTTTGATGCTGCTTTGGATCCAGCTTGAATCTCCAGCTCTATTTTGTCAATATCAGCATCTGTATGAACTAAAGTCAAAACATTTACATTCCAGGGTTGCAGTGCTTGAGCATTGTTCACGGTGATTGACAGAAAATCTTGTTATGACTGTACCTGGCTTCAAAGTTATTTTGGCATCAAGTTCTCCAACCAATTTGTGCAGATAGGTATTTCTTAAGAATGCAGAATTTTGTGACTTCAGGCTGAGGCAAGTAGAACATCCCAAACTTTCAAATTTTTTACAGAACATGCGTGTGTAAAATCTTCCTGCACTGTGGTGATGTGCCTCTTCTGAACCTTGCTGGTATCCTTTGGATATCACACTAGGAATACTGCTTTGCTGCATTGAACAAAAATATGGCAGATAAAGTTATTTTCCAACCAAAAAAAATTGTCCCAGTTCTTAAAATCTTTCCATCAGTTCATGAAGAAAATAATGATGGTTCTGCTTAAGTACAGAAGGACTGCATAAAATTAGAGGTCCAAGCACTCGAAGCAGTAAGGTTTCCTGCAAAGTGCTCTGTGGAAGAGGACAGCTCTCCTGCCCACCCTTTTCCCAGCAGTGTTTCACAGACACATTTCCCAATGAGAACCTGCAGGGCTCTTTGTAGGGGCTGCCTCTCTGTACCTGTTTCAGGCTTCTAGCCTTCCTGTTGCAAGTCAGTGTAGCCTTCCCATGCCAGCTTCAGAAGCTGAAGAGTACCCAAGAGAATGTGCTTCTGCAATCCACTGCAGGGATTATCTCAGGATTTGGGAAGAAAAATCTATATCCTCCCAAGAATAATATTTTTCACATTGCTCTGACTCAGAAAAAAAGCGATATTGTACAAAGGATATGAATTTCACACACCCTCCACATGACTGTAAAGAAAGAGGAACACATGCTGTCCAAGCAGCCCTGTCTGCATGCAATGAGGAGAGTGAGTGACTGTGAATGATCATGTCTCGAACCCATTGGGTCTTAGACTTGATTTGGGAAATGTCAGTCCCCTGTTGAATCTCCCCATTCCTGTGCCTGTGATCTGGTTAGCCAGCTCCTGTGTTAGGTGTGCCCAGTCCTTCTGAGGAGCTGCCTGTTTTCTGCCTGTCTGCAATACAGATGGTGAGATGCCTCCTTACCTTCCAGCTACCAGGTCTTGAAGATCTTTCTGGTGGCTGAAATGGCTGGTCAGAGATTCCTGGCACTTCTCCTTTCGGGAGAAGCTGGGATTTTTTTTCGGAATCTTCTTCCTGCATGTTCCTTGAAATAGCATAAACTCCACTCCTGTGGATAAATGGCACACAAGTAACACCTTCTGACTTTGCTTACCCACCTTTGCTGGTGCAAGAAAGACAGTACTAAGCTTTATGTGGCTGCCAAGGTATGGCAAACCTTAACAAGGAGTTGTATGCTTGTGATTTTACAACAGGGAGCTCACAATCAGTAAGACAGAACAAATCAAATGCAGCAAGCTCTTCTGTACCTCACAGCTGCAAGCTCAGCTTCCTGATGGCAGGGAAGGGTTTCAATCTTCAAATTTTTCTCTTTCATATTTATCCTGGCATCAAATTTCATTGTAGTGTTGGCACTGAACTCTGCATGAAATTCAAGACCACTCTGAAAGTACTGGGTATTAATCCCCATCATTGCAATCATATGAAAATATGCCCTGAAAGAGTGGAAATAAAACCAGGCATAATTACAGATTAATATGCACATATTTAACTTTGAAATGCAAAATTACATTTTTATGCTGTTCTGTTTATTGTAAGAGCCACTACTGATGAATGAAGAGATTTATCACAACAGGATAAGAAAAAACCTCAAGTGCCACTGGAAAAGGTGAAGGGATTTATCAGAATAACAAAGCTAACAGGGACCCTCTGACTGCATTGTCACTGATACGTTGCTTCAGAACAAGATAATGCCAGAATCTTGTAGCTTCAGATTGTGCCTATTTTTTATTATTACCACTACTATTATTATCATTATTAATATTATCACTATTAGTACTGTTGCTTTTGCAGATCCAGAAGAATTTCCCTTTTTCCCCTGAAATCCTTCTGGCTTGTGCCAGGGGGTGATGCAATTCTATGCTGAAATTGTAAAAAACTGCTCATATGTAAGCAAATATATTTTTGCAACTTAGTATCTTTAGTCACTGAACAGGTGAAAACGTGAGTATCTTTACCAATGACAGAACAGCACAGTATCCTCTGGGATACAATGCACGCTGCTACATTTGCAGGGTTGTAAAGCATCAGGGAGTTGTGCTGCTTTCTCACTACTTAACTATTCTGGACTAGCACAGCTGTCCCAAATCTGGGACAAATAGGACCCCTCTATAATAACATGTGATCACATATGTACTTCAAATATAAATATAAATGCTCGTGTGTGTATGTGAAAATATATGTAATTTTTACTTTGGCCTGATGTCGGCATGAATATCCATCTTGGTTTCCAGCAACTGTGTAGGTCTAAAATTGTCAGATAATGGTGGTGACATCTGTATATCCACTGCAAAAGACAGACAGGAATTATATGAACAGAGAATCATAAAATCATAGAATATGCTGAGTTGGAAGGGACCTGTCAGGATCAAGTCCAGCTCCTGGACCTGCACAGGACACCCCAAAAATCACACCGTGTGCCTGAGAGTGTTGTCCAAATGCTTCTTGAACTCCGGCAGGCTTGGGGCTGTGACCACTTCCCTGGGGAGCCTGTTCAGCGCCTGACAACCCTCCAGGTGAGAAACCTTTTCCTGATATCCAACCTAAACCTCCCCTGACTCAGCTTCATGTTGTTTCCTTGAGTCCTGTCGTGGATCATGAGGATAAAGAGATCAGTACCTGCCCCTCAGCTTCCCCTTGTGAGGGTGTTGGAGACCACAATGAGGTTTCCCCTCAGTCTCCTCTTTTCCAGGCTGCACAGACCAAGTGACCTCAGCTGCTCCTCATACAACTCCCCCTCTGGGCCCTTCACCATCCTCATGGCCCTCCTTTGGATGGTCCCTAATAGCTTAATGTCTTTTTTATATTTTGGTGCTGAAAACTGCTCACAGTACTCAAGGTGAGGGTGCACCAGAAACAATAAGTGCTGGAGATACAATGTTTTCAATAAGTGTAGTAGTTAACACATGGGCAGTGCTTTTACATTTTTAAATACTTTACATGATTATTTAGAGGTTGCTACTCCAAACCATAGTTATACAAATATGTCTCAGGTGAAATATGCTAGTTACTTCTCAAACCCTTTGGAGGTAGCTGATCATTAATGTTTCCATATTACAAGGGTATTTTTCAAGATTATAGAGGGATTTCATTTCAGCAGACGGATCGGACCCACAATTATTTTGGGGAAACTGCTCGGTTTGATGTCCCAAGCTCACCGTCGGCCGCAGTGTGGGCCACTGCTGCCCCGCACAGCCCGAGCTCCAGGGGCACACCGACCACTGTGGGGACAATGTGCCGCAGCTCGCCCACCATTGCTGGCAGGGTCCATCGCCCTGAAATGCCTCTCTGCACCTCTTCCACAACTTTTTTTACCACTGGCTGCCAGTCTGATGATCCAGTTAGATGCTGAAAACAGAAAAAAAAAAAACAAACAACTTAGTTTAGCTAAGTAGGTAAGACGAGACATGGAAGGGAAATTATTTGGCATTGCAGATAAAAAAGACAACACACTTGTCAGTACCATCATGATCTGTTGAATGGCATCTTTGTCAATGTCAACAAAGGCTATCTCTTGGCCCAATACTTTGATGTAAGCAGACACCAGAGGGTCTTCAGGAGGCAGTTCTTTCCATCCTAGAAACTGGTGGTGTTAAGGAGAGAAGGGGAGAAAGGGAAGAAGCAGAAAATGTCACTTATAATAATGTGTCAGCAAACAGTTGATCCCATCCAAAGGAGGTAAAACATGGTTCCTTTAGCCAGAAAACTAATAGACACCTTGCAAGTCTGAATCAATGTGAATCTTATGTTGCATAACTGATTTCAGAGCAAGTTTCCCCATGTAAGGATGAGGTAAGGGCTTGGTAATTTCTGCTGCTGTAAGTAGTAGGTGACACCCTAGGACTCATGAAGAAAAATCTTATTCAATAGTAATTTTTAAAGAGAAGAGCAACCACTCTTACAGTATTACAGCAAACACTCTTAAAGTGTTTAACATACACTTTAAAACATTCTGGCTCCCAGCATCTTCATCATCTTTTGTACTGTATATTAAGAGCTGACACATGTTGAATGAAAAGGTGGCATCTGTTGACAGTGAAAGTACAGTGTAAGTACATCTTTCCATGACCAAACAGGACAACTAACTCCTTTCATACTGAAACATCAAAGGGATGGCTTGGTGGGTGGGTGATGCAACCCTGGTGCTGGCAGGAGTCATCTCTTGCAAATAGATCCGAAGGGTGTGCAAAGACATACCGTTTTACCAAGCTCCTTCAGTGTCTTGTATGTATCATACTCAGCAAAGGGAATATTCTTCTTCCTGATAAGCTTGGCTAGGCTTTGTGACCGGAGAGCCACCTGTAGGAACAGAGTCAGGTGTCGCAGCCCAAGTATAGGAGAGCTCAGGAAAACCATTATACCTGGTGTTACACTCACTGAGGCCATGCTAAAGATGTGCGTTATAGGGCCATGTCTACCTGGCAGATGACTGCAGGCTATGGCTGCAGATGCTGAGGACGTGCTGAGCAAGTCAGCTTTGAATTAGTCAGCGGGGATAATTTTAGGGCAGAGTGGAGCTCAGCCCAGGTTGCAAAGCTTGCCCAGGAAGCTGAGTAAATGTCTGAATGCTGTTGCATGGAGCTTTGTGCTGCCCTGGCTGCACTGCTGGCTGAAATTTAATTTCAGCTGCTATCTCCCTGTACTTATGCAAAATACCCTAGATCCCATGTGATTTTAGGTGGGCAGATAAATGTTCTGCTGCATGAGCTTTCCTCTACTCCTAGATTTTCATGTCTATACTGGATTTGTTCATTGATGAATGTATGTGTCAAGAAGCCCAAATAAAAAAAGATGCCTAAGTAAAATCATAATAATTATCTAAATTTTCTCTTCCACATCCACCCTCACAGCCAGCAATGGAATTAAACACTACATCACAGTCTAAAGCTGGCTGTTTTAATGCAATACTTACCTCGATAATATCTGTTGCAGTATTTGCATAATATCCTCTTACTTTTGTGATTATATCAGATGGAAACATGGTGCTGGGACTGTTCATTAGATAGAACCTCCAAATGGCACCAACTTGATATTCAGCTATCACAGGGATAAAAAGCAACAGAGATTTTTGTTAAAGTCTCCAAGGTGTCTGGCACAGCCACCTCAGGTACATGCTGTAGTAGATCACAAGGGGTTCTGTCAGAATTCAGTCCCACAGGTCCTCAAGTTTTCAACCTCAAGAGGAGAACTTTACTCTAGGGAAAAGTCAACACAACCCCAGGGACTGAGGAGGGATGCCTAAATCCATGTGCAGGCACCACTTTCCCCAGCAGATACCTGGGAGTCATGAAACGCTCTCAGGGAATTTTTCATGTTAGGATGGTCTTGTGCTTTTCATATGTCAAAAGTGCACTAAACTCACAGCCCATGATTGGATTTTGGATGAAAATCACAGCACACAATAGAGGCACTGGGCTACACAAGCAGAAGGAGTGCACAGGGCACCTGGTACTCACAGGAATAATCACCAACATGAATGACCTTGCTGTAACGATAGCTCAGCCTGTCAAGTCTGGGGCTCAGGAGCTTAATGGCAATGTTGCAAGCAGAAGATCTGAGTAACAGAGTTCAAATCACGTGAAGAGAGTTGACTGTGACCAAAGACTTAGAAAACTGCAAGAAAAACATCATCATTTGCTGCTAAAAACGTACTTCTTCCTCTACTTACAGTTTATAGAGCTGTGGGATCCTGCCCGCTGCCAAAGCCTTCATGTGTGAATATGTGAAACTGGCTACTTGCAGGCTGGGCTCTGTCAGCAAAGAGCTGGCCATAGCTGCTACCGTTGGAAGAGCAGGCTTAGTTTCAAACAGGACAACACAAGCCATCATTCGGACATTAGGAGCAAGTGTATTGTCCATGAAGACCTGGAGGGCGATCTCCCTTACCTAGAAGAGGAAGATACAACCTGTGAGTAGCTCATAACTTTCCAGTGAGCAGTGTTTCCTAAACAGTGCATATGTGCTCTGCAATGAATGGAAAAGAGAACCCTAAAGAGAGACTTGAGCATGGGACCTGTCACTGAAAATGAAGACATTGCTGGATGCACAGTGAACAGGGCCAGGAGAACCAGCCATTAGGAATGAGCACAGTGTTACAGTGACCAAGCAAACTCTTTCCCAGAATATCAGCAAGGATGGGATGATGTCAGGAATCTGCACTGTGGGCAAGAGGAAGACCAGTAATTGAGAAACCTGCCCAGAGTTGCTAATATTACTTGTTAGTTTTATTATTCCTGAATCACTAAGCAAACCCAATCTATACACTTTAAGACATTTGTTTAAATAATAATTTTAGTTACTTTTGCAGGGTCTTTTCTGGCAATTTTCCTCAAGGCCAACATGGCATCAGCATGAATTCTGCTTGGCAATGAAACTGCAGCCGAGGAAAATGTTGGCAAAAACTTCAGGATGCGTTTGATACTGGCTGGCTCTCCTGCATTGCCGATGGCTTTCAGGGCCAAGGACATATCTTTGGCATCAGCTTTGCTGGTGGCTTCAGTAGCAAGGTCATGGAGTGGCTGAAAAGAGCAGACTATTAATCTTACCAGGTAATGATCTTGCAATAGTGCATAAAAATATACATTGCCATAGCAAGCAAAACAACTACTGCTGCAAACCCCAGAATAGAGCTGTATTGCTCCCAGGAAAAATTGCACCACCACTATCAGAATGCCAAACGTGGACCATACAAACAAGCTTGGTTTTCTCCATACACAGGGTTGTAATCGATTTTGAATTGTGCCTGAGTGTAGGAGGTAATCCCAGGTGGGTGCCTGCACCAGAGAGTCTGTTGCAAGTTCAAAGGCAGTGCTGAGCTGATGCCAGGATCAGCCGTTTCCTGGGGCACCTCTGCCAGCCCTGCCAAATTGCACTTGTGTAATTTTCACTTCCTAAAGCAATAGCAAGTTTACTTAAACAGTTTTGCTGTTCTGAGAAATTACCCTTCCGGTGGCTTGGCTCTATTTCACCCCTCTTTTGGAAGATTTAAACACATGTCAAACACTAGCGGGCCATCTCTGGGCTGTGGTCCTTCTGAGCAAGGAGCTGGAGCTGCATAGTCCAAGGACGATGTCCTGAATATTTCTGATGGTGATATACAATTATATAACAGGGCCTCTTTGGAAGCCCTAGCTTATGACATATCTAGAGCTTTGCTTATGTTCACTGTTTACTGCCTTTTGAGTACATCTTTTAAGAATGTTCTACCTAATGTAGAAGTAGAATCATAGAATCATAATTATTTTGCTTTAATCCTCACTTTGTCATACCTAAACAGTTTCAGGCTGTTTACAGGATTCGTTTCACCCCAGACCTCTACAACTACATTTGAAATTCTGAACTGCTAAGACCTGGTCTTTCAAAGGCACCAGGTCGGTGTTTCATTCTCTCTTTGAAATTTTGCAGGCAATCACAGCTAAGAGTGAGGCATGCAAACTGCGAGTTACCTAATTGCCAGCGTTGTGAGAGCTAAGTTAGAGGCATCTTTAAAATTTCTTCACCTTTTATGAGTAAGAAATGAGAGTCACCTACCTGAAGAAGTTGATTTGGACATAGTAAAGTCTGAGCACAGTATTTATTTACCATGCTACCATATCCCAGGTAAACAATTATCCGATGCACCAGTACCTTCTGGATTTGGGGACAGGTCAGAAAAGTCTGCAGAAGAAAGACGTATAATTTTTAGTGTTTCTAGTAATTAGAGCTGGTATTTAGCAAAAATTTCACTTGAGAAGTAGATAAAATTCATTAGTGCTTTTCCTAAATGTTTTCAGAAGCTAAATCAAATACTAGACACTTAGCCACAAGAAAATTAAATAGACTTGCCCCAGTTATGATGTTTGCACTTCAGATATTGGTTACATGATATTATTTTCTTGACTTTGTCTTTTTTTTTTTTTTGGCAAAAAAATCAACACCAGTTTTCTTAGAATCTCTGAGTTTAAGCATCAAATATAATTAAAAAACTCTTGGCAACAAGTGTTTGGAACCATTTTCTGAAACATTCTGCATTTTTGTTAATACCTCGCATTTTACAAGCTTAGAATAAAATATGTTGCATCTTTCT